CCGCGCGCCAGACCCCACCCTCTGGCCGCGCCGCCGCCCCTCCGCACGGCCCCCGCCCCCAGGCGGCCGCGCGCAAACTTGGGGCAAACTTGCAAGGGGCCCGCCGGAGGAATCACCGGCCGCCGCGTTTTCCCTCCCTCCCCAGACACCCACCGGAGAAGCGGGCCCTGCGCGCCCCCGACGAGGCCAGGCCCCGGGGCGGCGGGAGGCGGGTGGGCGCCTGGCCAGCGGTGCCTCGGAGCCTCAGGTCAAGGCCTCAAGCCGGCCTCTGCTCCCGCGGCGACGCCCTCCCGCGCCCGGCGGTGCGGTCAGCGTCTTCCGAGCCGGGCGCAGTCAAAGCCTGAGGCGACGGCGGCTCCCCACGCTTGAGGCCTTGGGTAGGCTGGGTCTGGACCAGAGGCCTGGACGAAGGGGGCCCCGTAGGGACAGACTGGAGCGCTGCCTGCAGTAGCACCGGCCCGGCACCGGCTCCAAGAGATCCTGGAGGTAAAGGCAGGTGGCAGAGGCTGCGCGGGCGGCGGCGGGGCCGGCCAGGGACTGAGCCCCGGCCAGCAAGCCCTTGTCAAGGGGAGAAGGAGCGCTAGGGGCCTGGGAGAGGGGGATTCTGCTTGAGAGAATCCCCAAGGAAATTCTCAGGGATTTTGGTCCCCGAGGAAAAAATCCTCCAGGTGGAGCCAGGCCTGGAGGCCCAAGGCTCCTAAATCCAGAGCAGTGGGGTGAGGACAGAGCACAGCAGAGACCACAGAGAAAGGGGCTGCGCAGGACCTGGGGACCTGGAGGAAGAGGGAGCAGAGAGGTCAGACCCTGCTCCGGGCCCAAAGGGCGGGGAGGGCAGGCAGGCTTGGGGAGGGGACGGCAGGGGGATGACCAGCTCCCAGCAGAGCTGGGCTTCTGGGGACCTCAGAGCTGGAGGTAGGGCCAGGGTGGGGGGCGGGCTGTGTGCGGGCTCCCCGAGGAGGGCTCCTGCCTCAGTCATGTGGGGCCCCATCAGGCAGGAAGGGGCCTGGTCAAAAGCCTCGACAGGCCCGAGGCTGTGGGCATCGCCACACTGGTGGCAGGCGGTGTGGGCGGGAGCCCCGGGGGTTTGGGGCCCCCTCCATCAGCCCCGCTGGTGCAGGATGGGGGTGGCCGCGGGCAGGGTGGCGGGGAAGTCGCACTCATGTGACCACAAACGCAAACACTTCTCTGGGGCAAGTCAACAGGCCAACCACTTCCGGGCAGCCCTGCAGCCCACGCCCCTCCCACGGGACCCCCGTTGGCTGCCCCTTAGGGCGGCCAGCAGACGTCCGTGCGGCCGCTCTGTCCACCCTGCTCCTGGTTTTAGAGGTGTCGCCCAGCTGGACTGGGTTCATGGATGGGAACCTCAGACTCCATCACCTCCCCACCCCCTCCAGCCCCAGAGCTCCTTTGGGCTACAGCTCTGACGGGCACCCCAGGTCTGTCTGAATGCCCCAACACTCCACCCGCCCCAGCCGTGTACCACCTGTGTCTGCTGCCCGCAGGACAGGACCATCCCCAGCCTTGTCTCAGGCCCGCCTTGTGCCTGATGGCGAGTTTCCCGGGAGCCTGGGTACAGGCGGAGTGGGGGACTGTCCGTCTGCCTGCCCTCTGGCAGCTGAATACCAGAACAAGGGCGTGCCCATGGGACTGACCAGCACATAGGCCGATGGTGGAAGCCCGGAGCCTGGGCCTGGCAGGGGCAGCTCCCGGAGGAGGCCGACTTTGAAGGGAGAGGGTGGCATGAAGGCTCGAGTGCAGGCCGGAGAGCCTGCCAAGCTGGCAAGCGGGCTGCCTGGGCTGAGGGAGGAGGGAGCAGGCTGCTGGCCGTGGGCCAACACTGCACTGGCCCGCAGCAGGGCCAGGCTGTGGCCCGGGTCGCAGAAACCCTTTTGGGGCTCATGTATACCCCACCCCACCCTGGGAGCCTCACAGACCCCCCCTCTGTCCCCTGTGGACCAGAGGCCTCTCGCAAAGCCAGGCCTTGGTGCCTGGCTGGGGAGACAGCTGCGCCAGCCGGGACACTCGGGCGGGGCGGACGTCTCAGCCCTTCTCCTTTGTGGGAACCTCCGACATCTGCTGAGACTGCGACCCTGGCCTGCAGGGTGGTGGCAGAGACAGAAACGGGGTCCCCACTCCAAGCTCACAGTCCCGCACCTCACCTTTGGGAGTCGGAGGGTGACCCTGGAGGAGTGGCTGTCTTGTCCCATGGGAAGGGACCACCAGGGTCAGCGCTGGGCTCACTGCCTTAAGTGTTAAGCACGTGATGTCATGTGGGGTGAGGGAGCCGGGCCCGTTTCCTCAAGGGTACCTGGGCCCTGAGACAGCAGTCACACACAGCAACTGCCTCATGCTCACACCTGTCCTTAGGGCACCCCCAAAGAAGTTCAGAGTGGCCAACTCCCTGCACCCCCCATGCCCTCCACCCAAGGAGGGCGCACCACCCCTCTGCCGCCGTTCTCCATGACAGCGCCAGCATGTGGGCCCTGGGCAAGGCACAGGGACAAAGACAAACACCCAGAGCAGTGGGGGTCTGAAGGGGTGGGTAAGAGGACCCTGGAGGACCGGACGGTGTCCTGGCAGAGGCTGGGCGGTGCGGAAACTGGCGTTGGAACCCCCACCTGCAGGTCCCACCCACTCAGGAGGGTCCTTGAGGCTTACCTGCAGGAAACACAGAGGCCCCTCCGCACGACGCACTCAGATGCAGGAGACAGGCGCCCCCCCGAGGCTCTCCCGCCCTCCCTCCCCAAGTGCTGGGCTTTCCTTAGCGCCAAGACGGCCACCGGAACCTTGGTTCACAGGAGAGGTCCTCAGCGGGAGAGACGCTCCAGCCAGGGTCAGCAGACAGGGACAGGTCTCCTGGTGACACCAACCAGCCAGGGGTGGGATCCACCCAGAAGCCACGCCCCCGGAGCTGAGCGCTAAAGTGAGGCCCAGGCCAAAGGAGAGCAACGCGCCTCGTGGAAGGTGCTTTATTTCATTTATCAACAACACGGGGGGCGGGAAGGCCCAGCTGCAAGAGCCTGTTATCACAACCAGCCTCAGGCCCCTGACTGGCGATGGGCCCAGCCTGCACCATTCCTGCCCACAGGAGGGGGGGGTGTGCCCTGGCCCCCACAAGGGGGCCCGTCCCCCGGTCCCCTAGGAGAAGGCGCCTTCTCAGCCCAATGGGGACCAGGATGGCAGGTGGTGCACCAGTTCCTGGCCATGCCTGCCGAGGAGGGCCTGGGGACCCTCGGGACCAAGCCCTTCCCAAAGGGTTGCTGCCACAGGTCTGCAAGCCCCCAAAACACTTGCCTACCTGCTGATGGGTGGGGCGGGGCACACCCGGGATCTCCTGCCCGCCCCCCCCAGGACCCTAGTCCTCGCTGGAGTTGTCGAACTCCTCCCAGTCAGACACACTCATCACCTCGGAGGCGAAGTCCGGGTCGGCCTGGCTGCCGCCAGGGGCCCCCCGGGGCGGCTCGAGCAGCAGGGCGCGCGGCAGGGTGAGCGCGCAGGCGGCCAGGCCCGAGATGCAGTTGTCCAGCTGCGGCCCCTCCTCCCAGCGGTCCTTGCCCGCGTCGTAGATGTGCACGTAGCCCGTGCGGCTGCCCTGGTTGTGTGAGCGGCCGCCCAGCACGTAGATCCTGTTGTCCAGCACAGCGACGCCTGGCTCCCCGTGCCCGGCCGGGAGCGGGCAGACGGAGGACCACTGCCCGGATCTGCAGCTGTAGCAGGCCACCTGCGAGGGGAGGCGCGGGCGCTTAGGGAGCCGGGCCCCGAGGGGCGCGCGGACCAGCTGCCGCCCTGTGCCCCTCCCCAGCCCCAGTCGGCCGGCGGCCCCAGGCCCCCGGGGTCTCCCCTTCGGGCTGGGGTGCTGGCTCACTCCCCTCCACCGCTGAAGCTGAAGCTCAGAAGCCAAGCGCACGCAGCACTGGGGAAGACGCACATAAAATGAGGAGATGGGCTTGCTGAGTCGTGATGACCATCACCATGCTCTCAGGAAGGCCCAGGCGGTCCAGTGGTGAGGACTCATGCCTTCCCTGCCGGGGCCCCAGGTTCAGTCCCTGGTCAGGAACTAAGAGCCCACAAGACACATGGTATGGCCAAAAACAAGAGGGAAAAAAATCATCTTGTCTTCAAAGTTACCCTAAATAGTGAACGTGGGAACCGGGGAAATATTCAACCTACTAGTAATGCAAGAATTGCAAAACAGAACCTCAGAGACAAATCGTCAGCTGTAAACGAGCGGCCACTGGGGAAGCCGGGCTGGGCACCGTCTGACCGTCAGGGCGGCGACAGGCACAACTCTGCAGAACCACGTGGGCATGGGCTCTGCTCCCCCAACTGGGAAGGGGCCTGGCCGCCAGGGCCTGAGCCGGCCTCTGCAGGTGGGTGAGCGCAGGAACGTGGACACGGGCTACCCTGGATCTTCAGGGGACCCCCTGATCGCACAGCCCTTGGAAGCAGCAGGGGACGTGTGAAGGCCTGAGATGGGAGGGGAGCTGCTGGCTTGGAAGAGGAAGGGGCCTGAGTGGCCGGCCCGGAGGCTTCCAGAAGCCAAGGAGGGCTTCAGCCCGCAGCGGCGAGGAGCAGGACGTGGCCCTACCGCAGGGGCTGAGCTCTGCTGACGCCCTGGGTGACGGACGCCGACCCTCCCTGGGCTCTGCCGAGGGAGCCCCCCTGGACTGTGGTCAAGCGAGAGTCACAGACTGTCACCACGGCTCGTGTGGCTTTCTGTTGCCGCATCTGGGGTGGTCTGTCCCTGCTGCAACAGGAAATGAAACGCTGGAGCCTAGTGGTTCTCAGTGCTGGAGGGTCCCAACCGGGAACATCCAGCTAGGTGGGGCTAAGGGCCAGGAAACCTGCATTCCTGGAGTTCTCTCCTGATGTGGGTGCTGCTGGCCCGGGAGCTGCAGTTAGAGAACCACGGCTCTCACCTCAGCAGACAACCCGATACCCAAAGAGCTCCACGGAGCAAACGTTGCTTCAAATATTACTTGAAACGGCCACAACCTGACCAACCGCAACGCCACCAGTCTGATGGAACTCTGCACAGCCGCTGGGTGGGGCAGGGCGGCCCACAGCGCCAGAAGCCAGGACAGGTGGGTGGAAGCTCTCCGACCTGAAGCAAGTGGAGCCCTCACACAGGCAGGGGGGCTAACTCAGGGCCGGGGGCCAGGTTTCAGGAATTCTTGTCCCCCTTCTCCATTTTCCCAGAGCTGTGGAATGTGGTTATACTAACTTTATAATTAAAGCTTTTAATAATAGTGAAAACAGATGACGCTCTTCTCTGTGGCACCCTGGTGGTGGACACGTCCCATCTGTCTCAACCCCGTGTGTGACCCCAGGCCAGCCGCGTTATCAGCTCTAAGGACGCCACCCTGTGGTGGGGGTGCCGAGTGCGGGGAGGCGGTGGGCGCGGGGGGGCCCCGGGAAACCTCGCTGCTCTTTGTTCGGCTTGGCGGTGAAGCTGAAGCCGCTCTAGGAAATGCAGTCTAGTAAACGGGAAGGTGTCCCGCGTCCCCCTGCACCCCGCCTACCGCCGTGGCCGGCTCCTCACTGACACCCGAGGGAGGCGGCCCCGCTGACCTGGTGCACGTCCCTCCGGTAGCCCGCGTCGTTGTTGCTGCCCCCGATCACGTACAGCTTGTCCAGGAGGGTGGCCATGCCGTGCCAGGCCCGCCGCACCGGGCCGTCGGCCAGCGTGTGCCAGGTGTCGCTGCCAGGCTCGTAGCAGTGGGTCTCCTTCAGGTAGTCCTCCCCGCGGCGGCCGCAGGTGACGTACATCTTCCCGTCCAGCGCGGCGCCCGCGTGGGCGTACACCTGCGGCCCGGAGAAACCGGCGTGTGCGCGTGCGCCAGGAGACCAGGGGCCGCGCCGCGAGGACCCCGACTCCTCCTCCTCCTCGCCGTCTGCCCGGATCCTCCCTGGACGCGCCGTCCTGTCCCCCACCGTCCCCACGGAAGATGATTCCAGGGCCCAGAGACGATGCTACGGTTTCCCAAAGGGAGACGCAACCCCTTGCAGCGACCCCGCCCCCCCCAGGCAGACATCTGCGCGGGATCCAGAAGAAACCATCACAGCCCCGTCTTCACAGAGGCCTCTGTCCCCCGACCTCCCGACCCTCACGCCCGCCAACCAGCCAGGCCTGTTACCAGCTCCTTTTCTGCCCCGGTATGGTCCTGCGATTTTAAATATGGTCAGTCACACTGGCTAAATTTCAAGTATGGAACCAGTCTTTGTAATCGACTCTATTTGGTCCTGAATTTCTTTTGGAGGGAGAGGGGAATTAGCTAATATTTAGTTATGAATATTCATATGTATGTATGACTCACTCTTCTTTTGGGGGGAGAGGCTGCTGTCTTGTATGGTTATCAATTTAATAATTTCCTAAGGTGAACTGAGAATTATTCCCCCTCTTCCATTTTCTGGAAAAAAAGAATCGATATTTTCTTTAAAAGTCCGGTAAAATTCTCCAGTTAAACTATCTGGGCCTGGACGCCATTTTCTTAACAGGTACATGCAAATGATCTGCTTAGTTCTGTGGGTGTTCTAGCACTTTCTGGGGAACTGGTGTGTTTCACCTTCTGACAGGGTTTTAGTAATGCACCCCCCTCCCCCGACCATTCTTGATACTTTAACTCAATTGTTTTCGCTTTCTTCCTCAGGCTTCCTAGAGGTTTGTCAATTTCATTGATCTTGTGAAGACCTGGTTGTTTTCATTGATTTTTCTCTGCTGTTTTTCCTTCAACGTCGTTGATTTCTGCTCTGGTATTTATTCTTTCTCTTCTTCTGCTTGCTTTGGATTCACTCTGCTCTTATTTTTCTAGATTCTTGAGGGATGCGTTTAGGTTACTCATTTGAGATTTTTTTTCTTCCCTAATAATGCTTTCAGAGCTACAAATTTCCCTCTCAGCACAGCTTCAGCTGGCATGCCACAAAACTTGACACATTGTCTTTTCATCTTCACTCAGATCAAGGTCCCCAGATCCCTTGCTGGGTTGTCATCTTATCTCAACGTTTTGAGTTTTCCGCGTTTCACACACACATCCCAAGTTCCAGGTAGTACTGAGCAGGAGGAAGTGGGAAGGACCCTGAGACAGGTGGCAGTGTGGGCCCGCCCTGCCACGGGCCCTGCAGAAATCCTGCAGGCCCCTGTAGGGGCTGTGCGCCCATGTCTGCAGACCCGCAGGCCCCCTGGCCTGGCACTGGCCCCAAGCTGACCAGAGCTACCCATGGCCCCCACGGCCCTGCACTCACACGTCTCCATCTCCAGTCTGGCTTCCCAAAGCCTGGCTGCCAACCTGCTGTGCCGGGCAGCTCAAGTCTGTCATGTCCCACCCCCACACCCCTCCCCTAGCCCACGCCTGAACCACCCACGGGCCAGGCCCACTCCCTCGACACATCTCTCCACACGCACTCCCCTTGCTTCGCCTCCTCCTCCCAGCCTGGAAGGTTCTTTCTGCTTCTCCCAACGGCTGCCATCTTTCCTGGACGTGGTCTCACTGACATCTCCCATCCCCACAAACAGTCCAGCGAGGCCGGCCCGGGAGCCCCTCCCCGAGCACCGCTGGGCTCGGCCCCGAGTCCCCTTCCGGATTTGTGCAGTGACCGAGAGCGCTCTCTCCAGCTAGCTTCAGTCACTGCCACCACTGGATCCCCAGGGCTGGGTATCCAGAAGGTGCTCAATCAAGGGCTGCTGAAGAAACAGACCAAAGTGAGGAGCCAGGCCGCCGGGCAGAAGCGCCGGCTGAAGGCCGAGGCTGCCCCCCCGTGGCCAGGCTGAGAAGCGCAGCCTCCCGTCCAGACAAAGCCCCTGGAGCCCCTCCTCCTCTCCTCTCCCCTCCGTCCGCTCAAGACCTGTCTCTCCCCAGCACCATGTGCCTCCTCCTGAACGAGCAGGGAATGCTCTCCAGAAGGGCTTCCTCTCAAATCGTGCAGCACAGACCAGCAAGGGCACCTCTTGCCCTGAGGTCTTGTGTCTGGATTGGGGGCCAGGGTCTCAGCACCCCCAAGTCCATAAGCTCAGAGAGCCACCCCCTTAAAGCACCTCTGCAAGATGAACAGGTTAACATCTTCAAGCTGAACAAAATAAGGTACTGTGTAGGACACACGATTTACAGAAACACAAACAGGAAAAACAGCACTTCTGAGGTGTTTCTGGCTTTGTGAAGGGGCTGCCCTCTCGGGGTCTGAGGCTGCGGGGTCCTGCCTCTCCCGTCCCTCCCATGCCCCTCTCTCTGGACACGGCCCGGGTCACCTCAGCGGAGCCAAGGGACAGGCAAGGGGAAGGCTTCCATCCACCCTGTACCGCAGGGTTACGGCAACTGCCGGGGGCCAAGGTGAAGAGGCCCAGAAGGGGGTGGGACTCGGGAAGGGCCTCTGCCAACGCGCTGGCTCAGCCTCGGGGCCCCCACCCAAACTCAGGGCACAGCTCGTGGAGGCGCGAGCGCTCCGGTCCCGGTCCCGGTCCCTGGCCCGGCCTCCGCTCGCTGTGAAGCTGGGAGGGGTTCCTCTGGGGGCTTCCTTACCTCCCTCTTGAGCGGGGCCACGTAAGCCCAGGAGTTGGTGGCAGGGTCATAGCGCTCCACAGCGGTCAGATCGTTGTGGTAGTCGCGGCCCGCCACCGCGTAGATGTAGCCGCCCACGACACACACGCACAGGTCTGCGTGCTCCTGCTGCAGCGGCTGGATCTGGAACCAGCGGTTGTGCCTCGGGTCGTACCTCGTGGGACAGGAGACAGCGGTTAGCAGGCCCCGCGCCCAGCACGCCCCCACAGCCTGGAGAGCGGGGCCAGGAGCTCCTGGTGGGAGGAGGCATCAGGCCCTCCAGGTGTGACTTCCAGACCCTCGGCTGTCCACCCCAAGCTGCCCGAAGGCTCCTACAGCACCTCCATCTCACCGTCTCACTCCAAGGTCCCCACGGCTCTGTGCTCTCAGGGAGGCCCCCAATTATGGTCTCTCGACTGGACACCTGGGCACAACGGCCTCCAGCTAGACACCCCTTTTTTAGTCTTTGCCCCAGACACAAGTGAAATGCACTCGGCAGCCGCTTCGTTTAGCCGCGGCCCCTCACTGCCAGCCAGGAAGACCATACAGAGCCCGGTGTGAGAGAATCTGGGCGTCAGCTTTGTTCGCTCGGCTCCGCTCCTGGTAGGATGACGCTGCCTGCCGAGGGAAGCTACCACGAGGGACCCCAGGATCGACACGTGTGACGAGGCCCTTAAAGCTCTGTGGCCCACCTCTGTGCTCCTGCGCCCCAGGGCACCTGGCTTGGCGCAGATCACGCTAGGTCTGCTCAGGAAAGACAAGGCCGAGCGAGGCTGTCAGTGGTGGAGCCAGTCACTCACTGGTGGACATCACGGCCCTTGGTGCTGGCACCCAGGGCCCCCTTCCACTGCAAGTCAGGAGACAGGCCACAGGGAGCCGAGCAGCTTGTCAGTCTGTTCCCGGGAGGAGGGCGGGGCCGGGAGGGCCCTGGTGGCTGCCATGAGGAACTGGCTCTGCCAGGCGGAGGCCCAGCCAGGACGGATGGCCAGGGGCGAGGGCATGAAGGCATGGTTCCTCCCGTTTGAACTGAGCGCCCACTTCCCATCTGATCACAAAGCGTGCCATGCGCTGGGTCTCCCCTATGTCCTGGGGCAGGTCCGTCCGCGGGGTGTGGCCGGCCAGACCCTCCCCTGAGCAAGGCCGGCACCACCTCACAGCTGCCTGAGGCAGCCAGCAACCTGTGTCTGCTGTGGAGGCGGAAGCTTCCCAGAGGCCCCAGATGTGGAAACCAGCCTGGAAGTCTCCAGGAGCAGAGGCTGGGGGGCCTGCCCCACTTCCCCTGCTCTGGCCCAAAGGCACAGGCCCGGAAGATTCCAGCCTCATAGGCAGAAAGCATGGCCTGCCCCAGGACCTCCCACCCGGCACACGGCGGACAGCAGAGCTGGGGGTGCAGGGATTTGGCCAGAGGTGCAGCAGGGCCTGCAGGCATGCCCTACCTCCGGGCTGAGGACTGTGTGCTGGGGGAGCGGGGCGACAGGCAGCCACCTTCCAAGGAGGTTGTGCTACTAGGAGAGCGGAGCTAAGGGCACAGGAGAGGGAAGCTGGGCCAGGCTGCAAGGGCAGAGGGTGCCAGGGAGGCCGTGCTCCCAGGCCTGGACCCCCCTTCCTGCCACGGCGCTCCCTGCAGCCGTGCCTCAGGGGTGCCTCAGGGGGCGTGGGTTTCCCGGGAGAGGAGACAGGTGTGGGAGGCGCCCACGCCGCGGGCAGCCCCACCCAGGGCCCTACCTCCAGCAGCGGGACTCGGCACGGAAGCCCTGCACGTTGTTGTCCCCTCCGATCAGGTACACGAAGTTGTTGAGCACTGCGATGCCCTGGTTGGACATGCGGGGCGCCAGTGACGCGGTGAAGTGCTTCCACTCCCCTAGCAGCGGGTTCAGGTACTTGGCCTGGTCGCTGAGGACGGTAGACGGCGTGGAGTGGATGCCCCCGAAGCCCACGACGCACTGGAAGTCGGAGCGCAGCTCGGTCTGCGGACCCTGCAGGCTGGGCTGCAGGCTCTCGTTGCGGTGGTACATGAGGGCCTCGGCCACGGTGTCCCGCAGCGGGCTGGGCTCCAGCTCGTCGTGCAGCTGCTGCAGGACCTCGGCCTCCATGAGCGGGAAGCGCACGGTCTCCAGGAGTTTGGGCGGCTCCTGCAGCGGGAGCCGGTTGGCCTGGACCTGCTCCGGCGGGTAGTGGTAGAGCAAGGCGCCCTCGTACACCTCCGTCTCGCACGATACCTCCAGGCGGTTGCTGCTCAGGAGGGCGTAGACCTTCTCCAGGGGCAGCTGCCGGTACTTGTCAGTCCGTGAGAAGGCCACGAAGTTCTTGAGGATGTAGGCGTCCAGCTGCTCAGTCAGGCGGCTCAGATCGAAGAGCTCAGCCAGCCGGTAGACATCGAGGATGTTGTCCTCGTCCACCCAGGGCGTGAGGAAGTCACAGCAGAAGTGGATGATCTCCGGGATCTGTGGACAGAGCGGGCCGTCAAGCCCAGGCCAGGTGTCCGGGCCCGGGACCCCCATCCCTGGGGCACCTCGGAGGGCCAGCACGTGGGGGACAAGCCACCGACAGTCACTGGTGACACCAACAAATGGGACCCGGCAGGCTGCGCACTTGGCAGCGTCACACCCAGTAAGACTCGCTTTAGAATCGACGCTGCAGAGAAGCCCAGCGCGTTACACCTCAAACAGAGCCGGGTGGCGGGGGAAGGGAGGGCTCCCTCCTCTTAGGTCGGAGCCTCACCTGAAGCTGGCAGGCGGCGACCAGCGTCTCCTGGACGTTGCTCAGGCTGAGCTCCAGCTCAGACGTGTAGATGAAGTGCAGGATCTGGCACATGGCATTGTAGGACACACCATGGATCAGGACCTCCTCCTGTTCCATCTCCTTCAGCCCCCCAGCGAACATGCCCCTGCGAAGGGAAGACAGGGCACAGCTGGTGACGCCCACGGGGCCGCCAGAGGGGGCCGAGGCTGGCTCGTACCCCGAGCCATCCCACGGAGGCACCCACAGCTCCTGACCAAGCTTGGGACCATTCTGGAAGCCTCCATCTCACATGCCCCAGGAGCCGCACGTGCGCCCCTGGGCACTGGGCCAGCGGGCTTTCTGCTGTGTCTGCCCGTGATTCCTGGGGCTCAGCGGGCGAGGACAAACGGGAAACAACGGTAAACGTCCTCTGCTCGGCATCCCTGCCCCTGCAGCTACTAAACGCCAGGAACCGGTCACAAGGCCGACTCCACAGTGAAGCAAAGCGGCAAAACCCCCTGAGCACGGAGCTAAAGCCAGACGACAGACAGAAGACAGGGCACTGCTGGGGGTGAAATCGCGGTCAGGGACTGAAACGGGGCGTCTGACGGAGGAGCAGCCAGCCCGAGGGGCGCGGGGGGACGGCAGGTGGAGAGGGGCCCCTCCCTGAGGAGGCCGTGGAGGCTGCGGGTGCCCAGGCCCAGGATGAACTTGCAGGCCGGCCACCGGGGGGGAGGGAGTCTGGGCCATGTGCTGCTAGGCAGGGTCAGGTATGGTCAGACACCAGGCAAAGGAGGTGCCGTCAGGGAACTGATCCCAGGTCTGACCAAGAACTTCAGATTCCAGGCCCCGTGGGGCAGGGTGGAGAGGCTGGAGCGGGAACAGGAGGCCCCGGCAGGCCTGGGGATCTGGTGGCGAGACCACCCTGGGGCTGACCGAGGGGAGCCAGGACCCAGGGCCGAGATGGGTCAGCGGGAGCCCGCCTCGGCCCCTACAGAGCAGGCACCTCTCACCGTCCCAGCAGCGGGGTCGGTCAGGGGCTGGAGGGAGGAGGCAGGGAAGCCGTGGGGCTGAAGCGGGGCAGCAGCACGCTGACAGAGTGGCCGTGTTCCATTTCGACACACACGCACACTCACAGAACTGAGAGGGTATGAAATGGTCAAAGGCTCCGTCTGCCCTCGGCTCCGGCCCCTAGCCGCTCTCCCAGGGCGGCACCATCCCGAGGCGGGGCCCACGCCTCGACCCGCACCCAGCTTCACCTTCACAGGGCACCTTGGAAACGGCCTGGATCATCAGTACCCACAGGGCTGCCCCCGGGCAAAGGTCACAACGGACGTAACACGCGTACCGTGGTCCCCCTGGGCCCCTTCTCATCTCCCGCCATTTCACCCTATGGATGGCTCTGCCCCAGGAGCTGGTGGGAATGCCACGATCAATTCCAGGAGAGCCACTGCTGGGTCAAAGGGTTCCACACCCTGGCGCCTGGACGCCTCCGCCACAGCCTGTCACGAAGCTCCACCCGGGGGGCGGGGGGCCTGCCCCGGACACCCCTAGAAGCAGAGGGAGAGGACGCTGGCTCTAGCCGCCAGGGGGCAAGGGAGAAATGTGGCAGCAGACCGCAGGACAGAGGCTTGGGTCGTGGGTTTAGCAGCTATTTTCACTCTCTCTTCCAAAGAGTGCAGGTGCTTTGCCACTTCCTTTTAGATTCTTGTCTCATCAACTTAAAGAAGATGGAACCTCTGTGCATCGCTGGTGGGAATGTAAATTAGTGCAGCTGCTGTGGAAGACAGTTTGGGGGTTCCTCAAGACATGACAAATAGAATTACAGGATGTTCAGCAATTCTGCGCCTGAATACATATACTGACTCATTGGAAAAGACCCTGATGCTGGGAAAGATTGAAGGTGGGAGGAGAAGGGGACGACAGTGGAGGTTGGTTGGACGGCATCACTGACTCAATGGACATGAGTTTCAGCAAGCTCTGGGAGTTGCTGACGGACAGGGAGGCCTGGAGTGCTGCAGTCCATGGGGTCACGAAGAGTCGGACACGACTGAGCGACTGAACAACAATGACAACAGGCAGCACAGACCACAGAGAGAACACAAGCCACGCCCGCCACTAGGAGGTCACAACCGGACAGCACCAGGTGCCACTGGCTGCCTCGGCTCTGAGCAGGCGGGCACATCTCCTGTCACAGCTCCTTCCAGCCCTGATACCTCCTCCACACCCTTGAGACCAGGTATGTCTCAGAATCCAGAACGTTTCAGCCGGAGAAAACACTTATCTGCCACACGTATGATGTCACGACCCTCCACGGGGGTCTAAAATCAACACCTCGAATCCAAACACCTCAGTATTTCCCAACCAAAAGTTATGATAAAAATAAACAAGTCTCATCTCAGTTCAGGACAGGTTGCATGGTTTAATGAATTTGTGCCAAACTTTAGATTTAAAAAAACAACAAACTGGTAACACAGAAGAATCCAACTCTCCCCTTCCCATCAGAGATCAGCTGTCTAGACAGACTAGACAGCTCTCCACCAACAAAACAGCTCTGGGGGACCTCCGGAGGGCAGGGGCAAAGTTTAGCAACATGCTGGAACCCAACAAAGCAAAACAGAGCAGCTCCGAGTATCAGAGGTTTGGGGTTGAGAAGTATGAAACGGGCTTTGCGAGAGACACCGTGTGTAGGGTGAAGACCGTGTAAGCGCGGCAGGAGGGCAGGGGTACAGCTGTGCTCGCTGTTTTCCTATTTGGACAGCGGCAGGCATGGGCACTGGACACAACTACGCACCCCTCACCACCTGTCTGGAGATGACCACACGCCGGCTCACCTCAGGCTGATAAGCAGCTTGCATCAGAAGAGAGGTTCGCTAACAGGGAACCAGCTGTCTTTCTGTGATCAAGGCCCAGGAACAGGGGTCTGTTGCCCCATGAGCCCTGGTCTCATGGAGGGTTTCACCCTCTGTTTCAGAAAGAACTCAGCTTCCCCCGTGTTGGCTGATGCCACAGGGCAGAACCAGGGAGGCTGTAAACCCCAGCTGCGCCATGTTGCCAACAGCCTGGCAGACACCCCACAGGACGTCCCCTTCGGGGCCCAGTTACAGGCCCACAGCCTCCAAAGGCCTTCCCTTCACCCTTGCTCACGTCAGAGACCTTCCCCAGTCTCACTGCGTCATTTCAACCTGAGTCAATAAGCGAAATGAATAATAAAGAAAAAAACCCGCTGAAGCTTGGGAATTATCATTTCACATATGTTTATCAGAGATAAGTCTGGGTTCTCCCTGGTCCCAGGGGGAGAAGGTGTCAGCCTGCACAGTGACCAGGCTGGAGAAGAGAACACCTCCCAGGAGAAGCCCGCCCAGGGACGGCTGCCCAAGGGCCGAGAACAGCTCCTATAGGACGTGGGAGACACAGGAGGCCTCCCGCGGGCAGGAGAGGCAGTGCCCGCCACCATCCTGCAGAAGAGGGCCGTGACTGGGACGGACGGCTGACGTTGGGAGAGGAGCTCCATGCGGAGGGCGTTCGAGGGTGCGCTCAGCAGGCCCTGAGCCGGGGGGACCCCAGTGCCAGACCTTCTGGGCTCCGAGGCCTCCCCGAGGGGGCTCCTGCCAACCCTGCCCCGCCTGCTGCCCGGGGTCGCAAAGCTTGTGAGGAGTGGATGCCGATGAGCCGGGGGGACACTGCCGTCCCTGGACACACCTGCCCCAAGGTGCCAGTCACCACTGGGTCGCCCTCTCCATAACCTCCTTCCAGAGAACAGGCAGCACTTAAACCATGAAGAAACATTTTGCTCATTAGCTCCTAGAATCAAAAGATGAGAACTACAGCCGAGCCTTGAAGAGAAAAGGACCCAACGGAACGGAGCCAGAGCAAAGGGTCTCAGGCCCGGAGCCCTGTTCACTGCAGCAGCAGGGGGCCGCCCCTTGCCGGCTCAAGTCAGGGCGGTGGCACCTGCTCTGCCCAACGTGCCCAGTGCTGGGCAAGCCTCACGCGGGAGACTGAGAAACTCGGGGGGTCACAGCACCCACAGGGAGGGTCGGGGGCCGAGGCCCGTGAGATGAGCAGGCGTGAGCGGGAGGTGGCTGGCCCAAGCGTGTGAACACAGCTATGTGAACGATGTGCGTGCGGTGTTGACTGCCCGCCTTGGTCCTCATGGAAGTCTCCAGAGGAGCCGGGGCCCGAGTGGGCTTCCTAACGGTGTTACAAGAACACTGCCTAGGCCTGAGATGAAGGCATAAAGCCTCGTAAGGTCTTGAGGAAAGGTGGTGGTTACAAAGGCAGTGAGAGCAAATGTTGCCCAGTGGGAACAACGGGTGTCTAGCTCTTTGTAATACTCTTCTTCTCAACGTTTTCATGGGTCTGAAAGTTGTTTTGAAATGAAATGATGGGAAGCCAGAGTAAAGTAGGAAGAAAATCTGTACCATACCGAGATACTGTAACTTACTGCTGGAAAATTCATTCTGGAAAATACAGTATCGTAAACAGAGCCAAGGATACCGCCTTTAAAACAAAACAAGAACAGAGAATGCGCGCCTACTGACCGGAAGTAGTCGCAGGAAGCAGCCAGCAGGATGCGGTGGGCCTCGAGCTGCTTCCCCTCCACCACCAGGACCACATCGAAGAGAATGCCGCTGTCCCGCAGGGCCAGCAGCCCCCGAAGCAGTGCCTGGGAGTGCTGGGCGCTCCGGTAGGTGTTGCTGACACAGTGCGGGTGGGAGGGCTGCGTGGGCAACTTGCAGAGCTGGGCGAACTCCTGCTCCTCCGCCATCCTGACCACCGCTCCTGACCTCAGCTCCGCGGCTGTCAGCTGGCAAGACACAGGGGCGAGCAGTGAGCCCAGGGGGCCGAGCAGGGCTGGCTGCTCTGCTCTGGGGCCTACCTCACGCTCACCATGCTCTCCCCGGAATTTCAAGCCTCTAGTCCCCTCTTCCCTCCCACCAGGGTCCAGACTTGGGGCCTCCTTCCTCCCGACCTGTGATCCTTCACAACTAAGACCCTCCTTCCCATTTCATCTCCTTTAGTGTCGCTGTGAGACAGAAGGTTCTAGAGATGGACTGACCCAGGAACCCAGCCTCTCAGTGGATCCCCTGTGTGGTGAGCCTCAGCGTGAGGCCCCTCAGCCAAGGAAAGGGGACTAAGGACACCCAGTCCCTCGGGCATTCTAAACTCCCTAGGGGACAAACATAAGGACCGGTGCAGACCAGTTCTCAAGGGCTCGTCCTCTCTCCTATTGCGAAAGAACACTGGGTTCCCGACGCAAGAACGCAGGCAAAAGAGAAAAACAAAAAAGACAAACACCAGGAGCCTCCCAGGCGATCCCATGATGAGAACTCCATGCTTCCACTGCAAGGAGGGTGGGAGAGACCTCTGGTTGGGAAACTAAGATCCTGCATGCTGAGCCAACCAAAAGTGACTAGGGACAGCCAGTCCGTCCTGCACCGAGATGTGGGGTCGAGCTGTGTACCCTCCAGGCCACAGGAGCGCCAGCCAGCGGGCCCCGCGCCACAGGCCTTGAACATCTGCATTCCCCACCTCACGTCCTCCACGATCCCCTCCCCTGATGTGCTGCGTCTTCAACCCCCTCTACTGGACCTTTGAAAGAAAAAATGAGACAGAGATTCTACTATAAACAAAAAGGTGTATGATGAAACTTAAATTTCCTTCCCACTTATGTCACCAACCAGATGACTCTCAGAGGAAAGTACTGAACTTCCCCCTCACCCTTCTAAGCAGCATCGATGCATTTGCAGGCAAAAATGTAAAACTAAATTCCCCCTCTTTAAGTAGATATTACACCTTAACCTCTTATCCCTCCCATAGTCCATTATATAGGTAATCCTATTTTATTTAACCAATCCTTTCTAGAAAGATGTTTGGGTTTCCTCCAATTGTTTTCTGTTGCTAACAGTTTTGCACTAAAAATCAGAGATTTGCAGTGTATGTGGCAGCTAAATGAGGAACATTTACTGGATACAGAGCTGCTGGGTTATCTTAATTTGACTGTGTAGTGGACCTTTCAATAGATAACTGCCAAATTGCCTTCCACAGAGGGTGTACCTATTTATCCTCCCACCAGCAAAGTGAGAGAACCAGAGTCCAACCAGTGTGTACGACACCAATAGCATTTCTTTTTAATCTCTGCTGACTTAATACATGAAAAAAACAGCATTTCACAGTGTAAGTTTGTTTTGGTAACTGACGAAATTTCAAAAAATAAGAAAGAGGAAAGCTGCACACCCTTCAGGACTGCCTTCCCAAGCCTGTTTTTCTGAAATAAAGTTTTTTACCTTGGGAGCTCACTTTCTGGCAGCTTCAGGAAGCCCTTCCTTAGATTCAGTGTACCCTCAACCCATAACGATCCCAGTCATCACAAGCAAGGCCCTGGGTGCACTGCTGTTCGGTTCAGAGCTATTGAGGCAGGAGGAAGGCGGCTTCACGCCCCAAGCAGGTACAAGCTGAAGGACGCTAACATGCATTTCCATAAACTCATGGATGACAGGGTCGGAACATCTCTTAAGAAACGTCCGACGACACCCTTTACTGAGGAGGCGCCCCAGTCCTCTGCAGGGCCCCAGTGAGCGACTGAACGAGGCAAGGTCTGCAACAAAGGGGAAGGGAGTCCCAGTCCCCCGGGCGGGGGGGGCGGCGGCGCGGACGGGTGAAGCGCTCTGGGGCGTCGCGGCCGCGGGGCAGGGAGACGCCCGGGAAGAAGGCGCTGGGCCCGCGGCGGGCAGAGGCGGCCGGCCCTCCGGGCCGAGGCGTCGCGCTGACAGCATGGCCTCCAGGGCCGTCCGGGTCCGTCCGCGCTGCGCGTGCGGGCCGGGGTCCAAGGTCGCGTCGAGGGGGACGGCGTCCGAACGGCCGCCTGTTGCAGGCCGTCAGCGCAACGCTAGACGGCGGTCTCGAAAGACGCGAGGGGGGCGACAGGCCTGCCCGGGGTCAGCTCGTCGGCGCCCCCAGGGCCCGCCGCGCCCGGGGGGTCCCGCCCGCCGCCCCCGCCACGTCAGGCCGCGACTCTCCTCAGGCCGCCGCCCCCACTCCGCCTCAGTCTGCTCCGGGCCGGCTCCCCCGCCTGCCCGCGACAGCGCCCGCGCGTCAGCTCCGGGCCCGGGGTCCGAACCCGGCCCGCGCACCGAAACACCGGCCGGCCCGCGACCGTCGCTCACCTGGCGCCGCCGCAAGCCGAGGCCGCACTCGAGGGGGCGGGGCGGGACGCGTGGGGCGGGGCCTCGGTGCACACGTGGGCACGCCGCGCAGGCGCCTTGAGGACGCGGGGCGGGAGTGAGTCTCCGCGCGGTTCTCGGTTCCCTACCTCCTCGCCCGGAGCGGCAGACCCAGCAAAGAATGAGAACGTGAAGGAATGCGTTCTGGCAAGGGGTGGCGCCCTGTAAATCCATTTCCTCCTTCCTCCCTTCTGTCCCGCCCTTGCGGTCCCCTGAGTCGCCCGCCGCCTGCTGGATGCTGGCGGGGACATAATTACTGCCAGTGTGAACAGGTGTTTTCCTGTTTACCCGGATTCTAGAGTCAATCTAGGAAGTCAAGAAATACCTGGCGTAACAGGCAAATTTGGCCTTGGAGTACAGAATGAAGCAGGGCAAAGGCTAGTACATTTTTACCGAAAGAACGCCCTGGTCATAGCAAACACCCTCTTCCAACAACACAAGAGAAGACTACACATGGACATCACCAGATGGTCAATAGCGAAATCAGATTGATTATATTCTTTGCAGCCAAAGATGGAGAAGCTCTATACAGTCAGCTAAAACAAGACCGGGAGCTGACTGTGGCTCAGATCATGAACTCCTTATTGCCAAATTCAGACTGAAATTGAAGAAAGTAGGGAAACCATTAGATCATTCAGGTATGACCTAAATCAAATCCCTTATGATTATACAGTGGAAGTTAGAAATAGATTCAAGGGAATAGATCTGACAGACAGAGTGCCTGAAAAACTATGGCTAGAGGTTCATGACATTGTATAGGAGGCAGGGATCAAGACCATACCCAAGAAAAAGAAATGCAAAAAGGCAAAATGGTTGTCTGAGGAGGCCTTACAAATAGCTATGAAAAGAAGAGAAGTGAAAAGCAAAAGAGAAAAGAAAATACATACCCATTTGAATGCAGAGTTTCAAAGACTAACAGGAAGAGATAAGAAAGCCTTCCTCAGTTATCAATGCAAAGAAATAGAGGAAAGCAATAGAATGGGAAAGACTAGAGAGCTCTTCAAGAAAATTAGAGATAGCAAAGGAACATTTCATGCAAAGATGGGCTCAGTAAAGGACAGAAATGGTATGGACCTAACAGAAACAGAAGATATTAAGAAGAGTAATACACAGGCAAGAATACACAGAAAAACTATACAAAAAAGATCTTCGTAACCCAGATAATCACGATAGTGTGATCATTCACTTAGAGCCAGACATCCTGGAATTTGAAGTCAAGTGGGCCTTAGGAAGCATCATTACGAATAAAGCTAGTGGAGGTGATGGAATTCCAGCTGAACTATTTCAAATCCTAAAAGATAATGCTGTGAAAGTGCTGTACTCAATATGTCAGCAAATTGGGAAAACTCAGCAGTGGCCACAGGACTGGAAAAGGTCAGTTTTCATTACAATCCCAAAGAAAGGCAATGCCAAAGAATGCTCAAACTACAGCACAATTGCACTCATCTCACACACTAGCAAATTAATGCTCAAAATTCTTCAAGTCAGGCTTCAATAGTACGTGAACCGTGAACTTCCAAATGGTCAAGCTAGATTTAGAGAAGGCGGAGAAACCAGAGATCAAATTGCCAGCATCCACTGGATCATCAAAAAAGCAAGAGAGTTCTGGAAAAACATCTGCTTTATTGACTATGCCAAAGCCTTTAACTGTGTGGATCACAACAAACAGTGGAAAATTCTTAAAGGGCTGGGAATATCAGACTAAGTGACCTGCCTCTTGAGAAATCTGTATGCAGGTCAAGAAGCAACAGTTAGAACTGGACATGGAACAACAGACTGGTTCCAAATCAGGAAAAGAGTGCGTCAAGGCTATATATGGTCACCCTGCTTATTTAACTTATGTGCAGAATACATCCTGAGAAATGCTGGGCTGGAGGAAGCACAAGCTGGAATCAAGATTGCCAGGAGAAATATCAATAACCTCAGATATGCAGATGACACCACCCTTATGGCAGAAAGTGAAGAAGAACTAAAGAACCTCTTGATGAAAGTGAAAGAGAAGAGTAAAAAAGCTGGCTTAAAACTCAACATTCAGAAAACGAAGATCATGGCATCTGGTCCCATCACTTCATGGCAAATAGATGGGGAAACAGTGGAAACAGTGGCTGACTTTATTTTCAGTTCAGTTCAGTCGCTCAGTTGTGTCCGGCTCTTTGCAACCCCATGAACCTCGGCACTCCAGGCCTCCCTGTCCATCACCCACTCCCGGAGTCCACCCAAACCCATGGGGGCTCTAGAATCACTGTAGATGGTGATTGCAGCCATAAAATTGAAAGATGCTTGCTCCTTGGAAACAAGTTACGACCAACCTAGACAGCATATTAAAAAGCAGAGACGTTACTTTGCCAACAAAGGTCTGTCTAGTCAAAGCTATGGTTTTTCCAGTGGTCATGTATGGATGTGAAAGTTGGACTATAAAGAAAGCTGATGGCCAAAGAATTGATGCTTTTGAACTGTGGTGTTGGAGAAGACTCTTGAGAGTCCCTTGGACTGCAAGGAGATCAAACCAGTCAACCCTAAAGGAAATCAGTCCTGAATATTCATTGGAAGCACTGATGCTGAAGCTGAAGTTCCAATACTTTGGTCACCTGATGCAAAGTAGTGACTCAGTGGAAAAGACCCTGATGCTGGGAAAGATTGAAGGTGGGAAGAGAAGGGGGATGACAGAGGATGAGATGGTTGGATGGCATCACCAACTCAATGGACATGAGTTTGAGCAAGCTCCGGGATTTGGTGATGGACAGGGAGGCCCAGAGTCCTGCAGTCCACGAGGTTTCAAAGAGTTGGACACGACTGAGCGACTGAAGTGAACTGAGACTAAATCTACTTGCCAGCCTGCAGCCAGGTCCGCGCACTCCAACCAGAGGCTCCTGTGTTCATTTTTCTCCGCCGCATCCACAGAGGACTCCATCCTGCGAGGCTCAAGTGCGAAGGCGGTGTCCAGAGGATGGAGAGTGTGAGGGGAGGACGGAGCTGGGGATGGCTCAAGGTTGATGAGATTGGAGGAGGGGGGCCACCACGGATGAGGGAGAAAGTCAGCGGAGAAGCGTTGTCCTGTCTGTGCACAGCACTGTGTGAGGCCCCAAGCAAGAGGAGTAGACAGGACCCACCCGGGAGCCGACGTCCCCAGTGGGAGAGGCCATCAGGAGGACTTTTGGGGGGTGGTGACCACACAGCTGTGTGCCAAAGGAGACTCTGGGGGGAGCAGAGGCAGCATTCCAGCTTGAAGACAGTGTCCGCAGATCCAGTCTAGCGAGTGGTCGGCAGGCCGCCAGGAATTTCTAAGCATGAAAGGAAACTTGGAGACCAGACCTGGTCCTCCAGCCTGGGTCAGCCTGGGCTGGCAGATGCCAGCTCATGTTGCCGAGACTGGCCTGGAGGGGCACCAGGGAAGCGGTGGCCTCAGGGGCGCAAGGATCGAGTTCGGAGGGCAGTGTTGGCCGGAAACCTAGGGAGGAGGCAGGTTCCCCAGTTCCTGTAGAGCGGAGTGATGCGTGAGGAAGGGTCAGCCCAGGTCATGGTCAGGGACAGCCGAGCTCCCCTCGTCACAAGGAGGCCAGAGTAGGAGCAGGTTTAGGGAAAGACAAGGCCCTCCAGGGGCCCAGGATGGCGAGGAAGCTGCAGATGTCCAGCTGAGGGCCTTTCTGGGGGAGTCCTGCCCTTTTGGAGGTGATACACTGAGCTAGGACAGGAATGGGGAAAGGAAGGTGGGCCGAGCGCAGAGCACACTGGTTTTCCAAGGGCACCCAGAGGGGCAGGGAAGGGGTGACCGCAGAGGGGCCGGGAAGGGGTGACCGTGGAGGCCCAATGGGGCTGGGAGAGGGAGTCCTCTCCTGAGGGTGGCAGCAGCCAGCCAGCAGTGACAGAGGCATGGAAGGAGACAGGCCTCTGATGGTTCTACAGACGAAGAGAGAGACTGGAGGCGCGCACCTCGTGGGTAGGAGAGAGGAGCCGGCGGGTGGGGAGCGGTAGGGTGAGTGAGGACAGGAGGCCCGGAGCAAGGCGGGGGCGCTGGCCGGGGACCGTGGGGAGGGGACACTCCCCCGTCTTCTCTGACCTGGAGGGACCGTTATCTCAAAATACAGCTGGCTCAAGTCAGTGGTTCCCCCAACGGGAACGTCTGCAGGAGAGGACAGGCAGGGCGGGGGAGGCCTCAGAGAGGGACAGGCAAGATAACCTGGGGTCCTCCCAGGGATGGGTCAGCTTCCAAGCAAGCCCTCTGCTCCCCAAGGGTCCGAGCTCTGTCTGCTCCTACATGACTGTGCTTCTGCACGGAGAACAGGGCTGGTGCTCAGTAGAGTAAGAGCAAGAGGAGGGAGGTGAAGGAGAGGGAGGTCAGAAGCAGGGACACTAGGTAGCAGGCTAGTGTAGAGAACAGGAGGTCTGAAGTCTCCGCCCGGTGGAAAGGACCTGAAA